AGAAGTCTCAGAACTGGGGATTTAGCTGAGGGTGATTTAATAGCAAAAGTTCAACAGACACAAAAATATTAGGATTAAGTAAAATATGTATGTGCTGAGAAACTGAAAATCATTGGGATAAACTATGAAAGATTGTGCTCCTCCTCATCTACCCATAAAATGCTGTTCTTTGATTTTCTTTTTGGTGTTTTGCAGTAGGAAAAATTAAAAGGATTCTTTTAAATAATTCTCTTTTCATCTCAAAGAACAAAAATTTTGATACTAAATTTGCCTTCTGATGGTGCCATACATGGATATCTTGACTAACGGCAAACTGTACCTATGAATGAATCATGGCCTATAAAGACTCCAAAGCTCCTTGGAAAAGAAAAGATAGAAAACATTCTGTTTTCTACTTTGTGAAACTTGGAATAGATCTTCAGATTCAAGGATGTAAAGGCAATCTGCTTCTTATGTGTATGTTTGGTTTAAGCACCGTTGTTAAAAATCAAGGATATATATATGTAGCATGATGTTAGCATATTTTTATGTTCTCTGTAATTTACTTTAAAATACTTCTACATTAACATCATGAGGTATATGCCTGTGTTTGTGTGTCTGTGTGTGTGCAGGGATTAGTTTTAATTTGCTCCCTTAGGCGGTTAGTTGTCCTGGCTGGAAATATGTATTTTATGGCATATTATGTTCTTAAGGATGTTGTAGCAAATTACTGCTACAACTAGGTAGCTTAAAGCAACAAAAATTTATTCTCCCATGGTTCTGGATGCTGAAAGTAAAAAATTGAAGTGTCACTAGGGTTGGTTCCTTCCGGGGGCAGAGGGAGAATTTGTTCCAGGCCTCTCTCCTAGCTTCTAGCATTTGCAAGCAATCCTTGAAATGCATTGGTTTGTAGGTGCATCTATCTCTGCCTCCATCCTCACAAGGTGTTCTCCTCTTTGTATGATTGTGCTACAGCTTGAGCTTGAAATGCTCCCAAAGACCCATGTGTTAAAAGCTTGATTGTCAGTTGGTGGTGCTATTGGGAATTAATGGAGCCTTAGAAGGTGGAGCCTAGTGGAAGGAAGTTAGGTGATTGGGGATTGTGCTCTTGATGGGGATGTTGAGAATCCCAGGATCGTCCTCTCTCTTTGATACATGGCTACAAGAAGGTGGACAGGCCTCTTCTACCACATGCTCCCACTATAACTTATTTTATTACCACAGACCCAAAGCAACAGGATCAAGTGGCTATAAACTGGAAGCTCTGAAACCATGAGTAAAAATAAATCTTTCCTTTGTATCTCAGGTATTTTTGTCACAGTGATGGAAAGCAGACTAACATAGTATTTCCAATTTATCTTCTTATAAAGACATTAGTCATTAGGTCAGGGCCTAGCCTAATTCAATATTACCACTGTCTTAACTTGATTATATCTGAAAATATCCTATTTCCAAATAAGTTTTCATTCACAAGTTCCTGGTAAATACAAATTTTGGGGAAACATTCTTTAACTTGGTATATATATATGACAGTTGATTTAGCATCTATTGTTGGTTATTACAAGATATTCAGATGCCCGATGAATGTCTGAATGGCACATAAAATGTCATAAATAGTTTTTATTTGTGAAATTAGTGCATTTGGACATGTGGAATGACTTGAAATATTGAAAAGACAATAGGCACTCTTGTTTATCACATGATATAAAAGAATAATGGGTGACATAATTTTTACCCTTCTGTAAAAATTATGGTCAGGCCTCTGATGGTCTCCAGTTAGTCTATTGATTCACAGTGTCTTTTTACCTGTATTAAACTCAATCTTACTTTCAAAATATTGTTTCATTTACTTTGAAGGAATTTTCCTATAGGATGTGGTCTAAGCATCCTAAATAGTCAGATTGCTGGAACTATGTAAAGCTTATAGTACTGGTTGCATGATGTTTTTGTGCCTGCTTAATAATAATTTTATCTGCAGCAGAATTCAATTTGGAACTTGCTTTCATAAATGGTAGCAAAATTGTATGACATTACTCCAGGGCAAAGTGACCCAACAGAACCTAACAATTTTGAAGAGCAACATCGGCCTAGGGGAATTCACAGCATATCCAACAATATTTTCTCAATTTCACAAATATTCTGCTTCTTTTTGGATCACCATTTTTATCCTCTTTTGATACTAAATTTATGTAAAACCATATTAGCCACCATTCAGATAATCATTTCATTGCTAGAAATCTTATATCATTGAAGGTTTCAACAAGAAAATGGATTTGGATAAATTTGAACTCTTCACCTGGGACTTTTCCTATGACTCTCTCATTCCCCATCGTGGTAAGACAGCTCTGAGGCTGACTCAGTGTCTCTGGAATTCCCTCCCTCATGCATTCCACTGGAGCCTCCATTTGCTGGCATTTAATACACGGTGCCAGGCATCTATTGATTTGGCTTGGGTTTAATCTGAACCTTTGTTATTTGACCGGGTTTTATATTTCAGAGGGGATTATTCATCATAAGTCACCAGCTCTGCTGAGCAGTATGTGTGGTTGTTGGGAGAGAGAGTTTAATTTACTGTTACTATTGGAGATTTAATTTTAAAAAGAAACCTTCAAAAGGGCATGCTATTGGGATTGTTCAAAAGCAATTCTTTTAGAAAAGAAAAGAAGATCTACTCTTTGGTCTCCTCATGCTGTTTTTCAATTTCAAACATTTCATCTCACAAGCCAGCTGTGTTGGACGGACCCATGGTGTTGCCCCCTTGGTTGGAGCATAGGCCCTTGATCTGCACATCAGTGCAGTTGTACCCATGGCAGGCAGGGATCACCAGAGAAATGAGACAGCAGAGTGGACTATGGGAAGAGATGGACTTTGCTAGTGTGAATCTATTTCTCTCTTCCTACTCGAATCTCTTTATCCTCATTAATCATAATGAAAGAATGCTGTAGAAGAGAACAGCAAGGATGGGAAACTCCAGAGAGAGAATCTCTTTGGACAGATAATAAATATGGAACCAAAGTGTTAAATATTTCTCCTAAAGGTGATGGTTGCTTGTATGTGCTGTGCAAATTCTGAGTGTGTATGTGCTCAGGTGTGTGGTACTCCCCAAGAATAATTATGCCTAGGGATTCTGTGACTTGATTAGAATAAATGTTAAGCTAGTCACCTCCGTGACTGTGGAGTGAGGACAGGCTATAAGGAAATGTGAGCAGATGTAGTGGTGGCAGCAAAGGTTTTGTTAAGAGTTGATGCTCCTGGATTAATTTACCTGTTATGTGTAGGTAGCTAATAGTACTTTAAGGGAATTTTTCAAGTCAAACCTAATTTTCATATTTTCAAAGCCATATCTTTGGAGCCAGGTACATGATTTCCTACTTATAAACAGCTTCTTCCTGTCCCTTCCATTAAAAATGCCCAAATGACTGACCATGATTATTCAAAATTTTGTTCATGGGTGACAGTTCTTTCATTCTTTACATTGTAAAATATAAGGCAATAAATATAATCCTTCTCTGTTTCTTTCCTGAAGACTTTGTTGGTAATTTAATATTTGAACCTTGATGAGTTACTCGCTTAGTCATTTAGCAAATATTTAATGAAAACCTGCAGGGCAATAACCAAGAATGCAAAAAAAAAAAATATGTGGGAAAAATAAAAACCTACAGAGGTTAAGTAAAAATGCTGCTTTTTGACTACTTTCTGCAGCCTAAAACTCTTTAAAAATATTTTTATGATTGAAAATAATACATGAATATAAGAGTCAATATTCTTCAAGGCTTGTAAGGTAAAACATCAACCCTTTTCCACACTTACCCTTCACAGGAAACTACTTTTAATTCTTTTAGCCACTTTTTTCCTTTTTTTTGTTTTTGTTTTTAGCATTTGCCTTCAATTTTACACAATATGCTATTTAGCTATTTGTCCATTTGTTGGTTTTCTATTTTGCCTATGAATCTCCTACTGTGGAAGGCAACCGTTTAGCTTCCTCAAATGCCTCCCTTTGACCTCAACACATATTTCTCCTTCTGCTGTATTTTAATACAATTAAAATTATAAGTTAAGTCAGATCACTATTCAGTCAGTACCTTGCTATGTAAATATACATATTATTCACAGTTCAGCCACGTGAACACCTGGCTGTGTGGGGAGGGAAGTCATCCAGGTGTTTCACTGCTACTCACAAAGTCTTTCAATCCGTCGTCTTCCTCTTTCTGTCCCTTCCAACACCCACTTTCAAAGTGCCTCCTCTCTCCCTGACTCCTAAGCCTCCTGAGATTTTAAAGTACAAACAAGCCTTCTTCAAACGGTTTCATGTTTATTAAATTATTACTAGACATCAGTCCACTGCTTTCCATTTATGTGTACTAATATCACAACTAACATCCATATTCAAATATGTGCTGATAAACAAGTACTTATATAGTTGTACATTTTTGTGCATATCTGTAAAGCATATGTGTAAATATATATTCTTCATGTCATTTCTCTTATTTTTCTCTGTTTGCCCTTATAGGTTTGAGAATTGTTATTCATTTACCAAAAGTTTTAATGTGTTTCTCAAGAAAAGCACATATGTTTCAGTGTTCCATGTTTAATGAAAGTCCCAAATGTTCTTTTAAAATTCCAGTTAATAATACCATATAATCTCTTTATAGAGGAATAAATCAAGGATGAAAGAAGTTAAATATCTGGCCCAAGGTTGTACAAATACTGAGTGGTAATTCCACTTACTAATAAACATTCTGTTCATTTCTTTCTGGGACGCTGCCTTTTACTGCAGACACAGTTGCTGGTTTAAGGAGTTTTATAGTTTTTGTGGAGAGATAAGACATGTGCATTCAGTGTTGAGAAAAAGAAAAATGGATTACTGTGCAATGGAAATTTAGAAAAGAGAGAAAGGTTTTCCTGGCCATTTCTTGGTGCCTAAAATTCCAGCTGGAATTTTAGTACATATCTTTCAGTGCTATAGGAATATTGCTTTATATACAAATCTTGTTTTAATAGGAGTTAATCTCTATTTTCAGAAATTTGGAATTTGACAGTATTCTATGAAGTCTTTGGAGCAGAATGCTGCAACTAACTTGTTGCTCATGACAACTGTCCTTAAGGTGAGATTTTAGAACATAATAAGGAAGATTTTTAACTCAATATGTTTCTGAGTGCACTTGATATTAAAGATATTCAAGAAAGAATTTTTGCTTATCTTTATTTTGGCCAGTTGTGATATATTGTCTCTGATTTTTATCAGATCTTAATTGTGGTTTTATATATGGGCATCCTTAAGTATAAATTTATTCACATTTGTCCACACTAGAGCTGATCTTGTTATTTTTTCTTTGGTCTGGTTAGCATATTATCCCCTCGCATTGATTAGAATTTGTGCATCCACAGTGTTGTCTATATAGCACTCCAGGAGGTAGACTGCACAGTGGATCAGGACAGCCTCTGCCAGCTGGGCTGTGTTCCATTCCAGGATCTGTCACTGGCTCTAGCTGCTGTGTGGCTTTGGAAACAATCACTAAACCTCCACCTTAGTCCATTTTCCATCGTTATAAGGAAATGCTTTAGGATAAGTAATTTAGAATTAAGAGAGATTTATGAAGCTTCCAGTTTGGGAGGTTAAAATTCCAAGATCAGACAGCCACATCTGGCAAGGGCTTCATGCTGCATCATAACACAGCAGAGCTCATGAGAACTGTGAGCCAGTGGGTGAGGAAGAGCTCCCACCGTGAGAGAGAATGAGAAAGCCCAGAGAACCAAACTTGCTTGATGACAACCCACTTTTTCAGTAACCAAGTCAGTTCCCGAGGGATCTAACGCATTCCTGCAGGAAGGGTGTTACACTCATTCCTTTGGAGGTCCCCAGTGAACTAATCATCTCCCACAAAGTCCCACCTCTTAGTGCTGTCATTCTGGAGACCAAACCTTCAGAACATGAATGTTTAGGAGGAAAAATTCCTATTCAAACCATAGCAACTTCTCTTTCTGCGTCTTAGATTCCACATCTGTCCAAGAGGGATAATGACAGGATCAAGTTCACAGTGTTAAGTGGATTCTCTGAGTGAAAAGATCACATATGTGATGCACTTAGAATAGCATCTGGTACATAAAAAAGATTATATCATCATCAATTCTCCTTCTAGAAATATTTTGCAGATGCAGTCCCTGGGAGCCACATAGACTTCAGTATATGAGCTCTTCATATTCTGGTGTTTGCTACAGTAGAAATGTTTTTAATGTATGTTCATTATTTTACTTCATAACCATTTATTGAGGGTCTAGTGTATGTCAGGCATACTGCCTGGTTCTCAGGATACAATGAAGAACAAAATCAGACAAAGCATGGTTTTCATGCAGTCCTCATTATAGTGGAGAGACAGTTGTAAACCAGCTAATTATACAAATAAATGTAAGATTGCAACTGTGGAAAGGGTTAGAAAGAAGAGGCTTCGTGACTCCCTACTTCATTTGAATACACAAGAATTTAGTGCCTGACAGAGCAAAAACTATGTGTTTTTTGAGGAATCCAAGAAGTGTTCTAATGCCAAAGAAGGGAAGGGCTGTTTTGTGCAGAAACTAAGAACATCCTGAGAAGCTAATTAAAACCTTCCTTTTTGATTACACCCTGGAGGATGGGAATCGCTTCCTCTCTTGCCGCTCCTTGACACAACTTGCACAGGAGGAATGCAAAGGATGGGTGGGATCTTCCCCAACAGGAGAGTGCAAGGAAGTGACATACCAGAGAGATGACGGCACAAGCAAGGCTGCAGCTGCTCCTTCCACCTCCACCCTGTGGGACAACTGCTGAGCAAGATTTCAAAGGCAAAAGCAACCTACAGGAAAGAAGGAAAAAAAATGCATTTAACAACTTCCTTGACTGGTGGTCTGGATAAGAGTGCAGCACATTGTAAAGTTGCATTGATGGTAGAAATATAGGTGGCTTTATAGACACCTGTGCTTGGAGTTCACAGAGCCCCTGAACATTCACACATGAAACATGGTAAGTTTTCCTGGGCATTTGGCAAGAAATGTGAAAACTGATGCTATTTGAACGTGTTTGTCTCTCCCATGTATACCATCAGTGCCAGCTTTACCAGAAAGCTATAACTGGGAATCATGTCCAGAATTCCCTCTGTCATTCTCCACTAGCAGTGCTTGAAAGGACAGTGTCCTCTTGCTGAACTTTTGTTAATTGTTAATCTCGGAAAAATACATTCCCTTTCAGGACATGTCGCATGTGAAGAGAAATTGAGCTTAAATATGAGCAGGGACAGGGAATCATAGATCAATGGCTGAGAAAATTTAAGTAAGTAGGAATAAATTTAAGAGATTGATTGTGCAACATGATGACTATAGTTAATAACAAAATATCGCATATTTGAAAATTACTAAAAGAGATTTTATGTTCTTCAAATATAACTACATGAGATAAAGCATATATTAATTAGTTCAATTCTGTCATCCTACAATGTTTCAAAACATTATGTTGTGCACCTGAAGTATATACGACTTTATTTGACAATAAAATAAATAGAATAAAAAGAGTTTGTTCCCATTTGACCTTTATATTTACCTGCATCTCTCCCCCCATATCTACCTGTCTATTGTTCTATCATTTTATCTGAATCTTATCTACTTCTCATCCTTTAGGTCTTCACATTTCCTGTGGTTGCTTGATGGCTCTGCACTCAGCCTGTAAAACAATTATGGGATTATTTCCTGAGCGCCTACTATGAGTTAGGCAGGAATGTTCTTGAACTCATGAATACTTTTTACAGTCTAGAAGTGAAGACAGATATGAAACTCATTAAAAGCATAAATGTCGAGAAAGGAAGTACATAGGATATTCTGGAATCATATAGCAACAGTAGCAGTAATAACAACTAAGATAATTCCATGTTTACCGTGCACCCAGGCATGGTTCTAGGTTCTAAGTGATATATATATACACACACATACATATATGATTAATTATAATTAATAATAATGATTACATATAATAATAATTATTATTAATTATAATGTACATAACATACCCATGAGATAAGATACTATCATTTTTCATTTTGTTGATGAGAAAACTAAAGCCCAGAGAGATTAAACTCTTGAGTTCTTTCCCAAGTTTCCCAGATAAGAAATAATGGATTGAGATTTGTACAAGTGGTTGGCTCCTTTGCCTCCAAGCACTCTATGTACATGCTCATAAACAAGAGCATTCGGCTTAATCTTCCTTGAGGCATTGTACTAAAGTTTGAGGTAATATACATAATTCTGGTTATGTATTTGAACACTTCTTTAATACAATAAATAAGAAAAAAAGTTTTCTCTTTAAGATTTAAGGTGGATTAAAAGTAAAAAGCAAAGTGTTTCTAAAAGTAAAGTGGAATTCTAGAAAAAAATGGATATTAGGGAAACACTAGTGAAAGGCATATACAGTGCAGAGTATAGTTAGCAGCAATGCACCAATATTATTTTCTTAGTTTTAACAAATATACCACAGTAAGATGTTAACATCAGGGCATGATGGTCCTGTGATCCTAGATACTCAGAAGGTTGAGTCAGGATCATCACAAGTTTGAGGCCAGCCTGGGAAACTTAGCAAGACCCTAGCTCTAATTAAAAATTTTTAACAGTATTGCAGATATACTTTAGTGGTAGAGTGCTTGCCTAGCATGCATGAGAACCTGGACTGAATCTCTAGTACAGAAAAAAATTAATTAGTTAATTAAACCAAGAAAAAAAAAGATGTTAACAGTAGGGGAAAATGGGTGAGGGGGATACCAGGACTCTGTACTATCTTGGCAGCTTTTCTGTAAACAAATGCTAACCTAAAATTTAAAATTTACTTAATATGAAAATAATAAAATTACATGAAAATGATGCAAGTCAGTCATTCAACCTCCACTGCACCTTTATTAGTTACAAATTAATCAATTCTCTATAAGAGAGGGTACTCCTTTTTGGTAGGCCTATTCACTACTTAGGCAAGGCAGCATGGCCTCATACCTTAAGCATGAGATGCTAAGATTTCCACATAGCATCTCACAGGGCATTTGTGTCAATTTTTCCACTTACCTGGCTAGGTAGGCATGTTTCACTCTTGTGCTATTCTATCCTCTCTGTAACCTGGGTGTCCATATGCTTAGCAAGTCTCCATGCCCTTTCACTGTCCCTGGAAAGTGACATTCTTTTGTCCTGATCACACCTGTCAAATGGTATCTTGACTCTGTTCTGTTAGATTTTCATATGGTTGGTTCCATCTGGTCCTGAAGTCTGGCCCATGGGATCTGGCCTGGTCTGACAGGGTTCTCATTCTCAGTCTTCAGGAGTTGACAGTCAGAAGCCTGGGAGACCCAGAGCACAAATGGCTCCTGTGGAAATCAAGTACCTGCAGAGGCTTGTCTGCCTCTCACAGGCAGCCTTCTATCGTTTTTGAATCTTTTACATTTGTTACAAGGAATTTGAGATCATAAATTTCTACAGTACTGCAAATAGCTTTCCATCTAAAAAGAGGGTAAAGAGATGATATCCAGATGGCTGAGGAATCAATATAACCACCATCGGTTCAGATATGCACAGAAGAGGGAGGCCAACTTTGACCTTCACAAAGTCCCAACAATCCTGCCCTCTAAAATATTTTATTCAGGGTTAAACCAGGAAAACTCTCTTTAAATGTTTTAGAAGAGAGAATTTTATGTGGAGAATTGGTTGAGCAGGTGATGGAAAAGGTGAGAAGTCAAACAGGAGACAATGAATCAACTCATGTCAGCGGTGGCAGGAAGTTCCAATCAACCCTGGGCTGGAGGGACAAAGGGAGGAAGTGGGGTTCCCAGAGCAAGGGGTGGGATCCTTGGGTAGAAGCCAGAGCTGTGGCACGTGTGCACAGAGGATCGAGAGCCAAGGAGGAAATACAACCGCTGCTAGAGGTGTCACCTGAGGTTTCCAGAGAAATATACTGGATTTTTTTTCCCTGCTTTTCAATCTTTTGCAATTAAACATCATCTATCAGAGCTGGGGTTGTGACTCAGTGGTAGAACACTTGCCAAGCACGCGTGAGGCACTGGGTTTGATCCTCAGTACCACATCAAAAATAAACAAATAAAATTGTTGTTCTTTAAAAAAAACATTTTAAAAAATTACTGATCAAAGCTAATCAGAAACCAGTTTACATAGAAGATCCATAAATATCGCCCAAGGAAGAGAGTCCTCCTTTAAGACAGCACAGAAACACCACCACTGCTCCAGATGAGGTCTGCCCCTTCTATTTCTTAGACTATGATGGAATCCTCATGATCACTTTTTTCTGTCCCACCAATCTCCACCTCCCTCCAATTCATCCTCTATATTTCAGCTACAGGGATGTTTGGAAATACATGGAGTACTTCTTATTCTAATTAAGATCCCAGTTTGGTGGATGATGTTGAGAGCTTCATTTCCCAAAACTAGCAGCGTGGCTCAGCTTGAGGGCCATGAAGACTGCAGAGGACCACAGAGCAGTCTGTCCCTCTGTGGACCTTGGGAGGAGGCTCTCTGGCCTAGGTGTCAGAACTGTCATGGGGTAGGCTGAAGGAACAAGGGTCAAAGGTACCACACTCAAGGGGATTCTGTAAACTCCTGGAGGACAGGAGAGGACTCAGCAAAGGCAAGGAAGACTTGCCTTAGAGGCTCCTAGGAAATGAAAGGGAAGAGAAACAGAAGGGCTTTGAGAGGATACCAACTAATAGGAGCATGAGTCAGATATTTAGGTGATTCTGAATGAAATCCATCAGGTTAGTTAAGTTTGAGGAAAGTGACTTTACTTCTGGTTGAGAATAGAATGCAAAGATGCTGCCCAGGCTACTTTCTTAAAATAAATCCACCAGTCAACAGACCCCTTGCAGAATGAATAGTACAAAGTTCTTGTCTCTGATAGGTGCCGGGGGCTATCTGTCACTTGGAGACTTGATCAAAATGAAGAAAACCAACATGCATGAGCATCTTAGGGAAAAATCGAGTTCTGGAAGATATAGTGGAGACAATAGGTGGTAGAAAGAACGAGTCTGATAAGTCAGAGAAATTTTCCAAGAACTTTTTAGAATTTCTAAAAATATCTGTATTAATCAAGCCACAATCCACATGAACCTTCTTTGTACTGCCATGAAGTCTTACTGGAATGTGAACTTTCCTTACTAAGAGGCTAAAGGGTAACACCACTTTTCAACATCAGAAGGTAACAATTTATTGGACTGATACAATATGCCAAGCATAGAGCAGGACAGATAACATAATTTGTTTCTCTTTGGTATCATAATTATCCTTGCACAGATGAGAAGCTTAAGAGCTTAAGTGACTTGCCCAAGGCTGCATTACAAGAGGAGGCGTTGGTTTGAGACCTAGGTGTCCCTTTACTACACCATGATTTTTGTGTGTAGTAGGCAACTCTCATGATGAAGAAGGCAAACTATTGCTTAGTAATGAATTTGGATTTCTACCATTAGAACTTTAAAACAACAGCTGGATGTATTTCTACACAGTCATCCTCAAATCCTATATCTAAACTTCTGAAAAATGTGAAATTCACATCGAAAGCTTATTACCTATTGAATTATGAATACCACTTGCCCTCTATTTCTCCAGATCCAGGCATAATTATAACATTGTTGATCTGTCCAGTCTTTTGACTAATATATTTATTATCTTAAGCTTTCAGGAATTAATACTTATTGATATGATGGTTATATATTAGAAGAAATCCCAGGAAACTAGATACTGGGATTGAAATAAGCACACAGGCATTTGTTAGGGAGTACACTCAGGAATCAATCACACAGAAGAGAAGGCAAGGAGAAGAATTGGGCCGAGAAAAAAGTCAAGCCCTTCTGTAATATCAACAGGAAACTAACCAAGCTTACTGAGAATTCTGGGGCTAGAATAACTCTTCTGAGTTGTGCTGAGTTGGGTAATGGGGCCTCCCCATGTCGATCGGTTACTGGATGTGAAAGACCAATAACTGGAAGGCAGCAGAACTGTAGGTGTGATGTGTTCATTCAGAGGAGAGAACTTCAAAGCAGGACTGACACATTTTCTCTTTCCCATTCTGGAAGAATAAGTTCTTCATTCTTACCTTACCGTAGATTTGGGTGGCTCATGATAGCATTCATTTATTCTGATAACAAGGGTAATTTTTCATAACTCTCAGTATGTACAATACATGTATTGCATTATATTATATAATGTATAATACATGCAAAACATGTAAATATATCTATATGTAAACAAATACTTTATATAAGTATAAAATACATTGTTGCATAGACAAATGTAAAAGGCAGTTAACTGCCTGGCTCAGGATGAAAGCCATACTTGAAGGAATTAATAAGTTAGTTAATGCAGTGTTTACAAATTGATAATGCTGAATTCTATCTATGGTTCAAGAGGGAGCCAGGCACAAGACTTCTGAAGGTTCTCACGCCTCTTAAATGTCATTCCTGCTGGATGAGTCTTAAGGATGCAAAATCTG